TTCCCCCCTGCCACACTCCTAGATGCCTGTGGGGAGGAGATCTCTCCCCCACCCACCCACCCTTCCCCCGTTTTTTCTGCTAGCCCCTTTTCTCCTTCCCTCTTTCTCCTGTTTCTGGGGCTTCAAGGGGAGAGCTTATGTCCAGGGACAGAGGAAGCACTTGAACGGGGAGGAGGGGTCCAAATTCAGCCTCCTCTCCCAGAATCCGGGCTCTGTGACCCTTCCCTCCCAGAAATATTGTTTAAAACTCCCAGACGGGCATTTTCTGGCTGCATCTGAGGTCCTCCGTTTTCTCTCCAGGGGGCAACAGAACATTCTTAATACACACTTCTCTGTTTTGTTTTGTTTTTTTAAAAAACAACAGCATAATCTCCTAATATATAACCACCCCCAATCAATGTTCCCTCTAAGCTGTGGAGTCTTGTGAGCAAAAATTCTACTTTGTGAGCGACTGGCATTGAAGTTGTGAGCGAGAGATCTGGCTGCTGCAGAAATCAGTTTGCTCTGGAGCCATCCCTTCCTGAGCTAAGACAAAAACGTGTGAGCCGGAGGCTAAAAAAAACTGTGAGCTAGCTCACCCTAACTCAGCTTAGAGGGAACATTGCCCCCAATCGAGTTTTATAGTCCTCCTGACACTAGGAGGATGAATAAGGAACTGGGGTAGGAATAAGGAACTGGGAACCAGCTTCAGCCTCCTTTCTCTGAGGTGGCTGATACCCCCGGGCACACAAGCCTGTGCAGAGTTCCTCCGCAAGCAGTCCCGTTGACCTGCCTAGGGCGGGCGTCGCTGACAGCAGCCCGGCTGAAGCGTCTCACGGAGAGGAGCGCGCCCATGTCTCATTTGTCTGCAGCACTGAGGGGGTTAAAACGACAGAGCTGTTTGCCAGAGAGGCCGAGGAAGGTGGTCGGAAAAGAGGAGAGGCTCTTTTCCGGTGTGTGTGTGTGTGGGGGGGTGAGTTTTGAAAGGTGGAAGAGAAGAGGAAGGGCTCCAGAGAAGCCACCGCCGGGGGAAAACCTCCCTTGCAGCAGTCGGATCGTGGGAAGGTTTCTTTGGAGGTGAGTCATTGGGGAGAAAAGCTTGGATGTCTTTGGGAGGGAGTCGCGCCGGGATCGTTCTTGGCCATGGTGCTCTGATACGGTTGCCAACTCCCGGATGCCAAATTCCTGGTTATTTGGAGGGGGGGGTGCATTCTGGGACAGGCCACTTTTGAGTATGGGGAAGCCTCAGACGGGGACAGCGCCGTAGACTCCTCCCTGCATTGCGAGGATTTCCTCCAGGGGAGCTGATCTCTGTCCGTTGCAATCCTGGGAGAACTGGAGGGAGGTTGACAACCCGGTTAGGCACCAGCTTGGCGCTGCTATGTAGATAGAATTTGTGCGTGTGCCTGCGTGGTCAGTAAAGTTTTTCAATGCAGGACTGGTAAAACGTATGCATCTAGATCAAGATGGGGTAGCCATGTTAGTCTGTCTATGGCAGTAGAAAAGAGAGTCCAACAGCACCATAAAGACTAGCAAAATTTGTGGCAGGGAATGAGATTTCCTGAGTCACTGCTCACTTCTTGGCCCCTGCCTCTCCTCCCGTGCCCTAACGGCCGGCTCGCACTCTAGGCGAAGGCCTAGTTTGCCTAGCGGGCGATCCAGCCCTGAAGAGAGCAAAGACTCGGGAAAGCTTCTACTCTTCCACAAGTTTTGTTTAAGGTGCTGCTGGACTCTTACTCTTTCCTAATTCATGGATCTGGCATTTTGTTGCTGGTCATTTTAATCTGCAAAACAACCAACCAAACAACCAAACAGAAGGCTCTCTCTTTTTTTTTTGGCTGGATGAGTAAAAAAAGGGGGCCTGGGGGAAGAGAACGCCTGCCTGCATTGGAATCAACCACAGCCCCATCCAGATGTGTTCCCAGTGTGGGGCCGGGGCTGCCACCTGGTGTCCGCGGCCCACCCAGCAGTGGGGAGGGAAATCTTATTCAAATCGGTTGTGAAGGTGCAGAGTGCAATGCCTGCAAAGACCATGGAAACACCTCCAACACACACCAATCACAGCACCAGGAGACTCCCCTCTGACAGGCACAGAGGGGCGGATCATGCTGGTGTGGTCACCGCGTCTCACAGACACAAGGCCAGGAGGAACAAATGGCAGACCTGCATACAGGGGTCATTTCCTGCAGGAGCGCACAGGAGCGGAGCTCCGGCAATAAAGAGCCCAGGGGGCGGGCACATGCAACAAGCCCCGCCCCCTGCTCCCAGCAGCCCTCAGTCAGAGCAAGAAGCAGCCAGGTAAGCTGCAGAGCCCCCCCTCCGTCGGCCCCCCCAGTCCAAAACAGTCCAGTGGCAACTTTAAGACCAAGTTTTATTCTGGTACAAGCTCTCCCTCCTCTGCGAGGACAGATCTGCACGTTCCTCCCCCATAGCTAGCAATCCAAAACAGTACAGTGGAGCCTGAGCGGTGGGTGTCGCCTTCTGACACACTTCCGATGATGTCAGGGGGTGTGGCATATGCAAATGAGTTGTGCTAATGAGTTATGCTAATGAGCTCCTGCACCTCTTTTTCTACAAAATGACCCCTGCCTGCATACATCACTGTGAAGATCGGGCATACATCATCACAGCGAGGATCCTGGCCTGAGCAACAGGACCCCTGGAGTAAACAAACCAGGGACTGCCACAGGTGTGGGTTTGAGTACCCACCCTCAGCACTGTTTTGCACAGTGGATGCACAGGGAAGGAATGCCCCTGCCCCATCACTCCACAGCTCACTTGGCAGAGGCCACAATAACACAATGCCAAATTCTTCCCCCTGCAATGGGGTTTGGGTGGGAGGGATGGGCATCCCTTTGCCAGCCGAGAGAGGTACAGACCCCCGGGCAACACAACAGGGAGAAACAGAAGGGCACAGTCACAGGAGGCGTGGGCTCAGGTCTTGCTAAGGAGGAGGCCAGCAAGAATACAAAGCTCACCTTTTGGAGATTAGGAGTCCCAGAAAGGAGGCCCAGGTGGGATGAAATGTGGTGACTCATTCATGCTGATTGGATGGCCCCAATGCCAAGCATTTTGGCTGATCCCCTCTGCCAACCCCATCTACCGTCTCCCTGAGGCAGGGATGCCAATGTCCAGGAACAGCCTGGAGATGGTCTCAAATTACAACTGATCTCCTTACTACGGAGATCAGTTTGTGTTCAGAAAATGGCCGCTTTGGAGGATGGACTCTATGCCATTGTACCCTGTCCTTCCCAGCCTCCAGCCCCAAACTTCCAGGAATTTCCCAACCCGGAGTTGGCAACCTTGTGCATTTGGCAGAGTTTGTCATCTCTTACAGCTTCTCTTTCTCCCAGCAGCACTGGGGTGGGCTTCTCTCGTGACACGCTTAGTAGCCATCCGAAGTTGTTCAAGGACTGGGCTTATTAGGCTTGTTCCCAAAAGAGGCTGGACTCTGGAAAACGGTCCTTCTGTCAGGGTGAGTTTGAATATAGGGCCAGGGGGAAACTGTGATTCTTCTCTGGGTGAAAGACTTGTCACCTACGGCCTCCTTCTTCAAGGGGAATGGAGTTTCTAGGGTTCCAACTGTTTACTTGGGCTGGTTTCCCTTGGAAGAAGAAAGCCGTGGAGCCTTCTGGGGCCTTGGTACTATTAGTTTAGTGACAGATATCCTGGCAGAGCTGAGCAAGGGTGGAGGCCAGAGGAATTCCCACAGAAAAGCCCACATCAGATGCCCAGAGGGAGTGTTTCTGCACCTCAAGATCCTTGAGCCAAATCTCAGCCTCTCTTCCTTTCTCTCCCGATCTCAGCTGTTCGTTCTTCACACAGACACATTCCTGCCCCTTCTCCTTAGCTGGCTGCTTGGGCAGAGCTCTTGCCTCACATGTCAGGCCTGCTGAAGAGATGCGGACAATGGTAAAGGTTCCTCTCGTCCTTTTTGGGTTTAACATAAGAATTAGCCCCTAGGACAGACTGCGCCAATGTAATGAGAGGCTAAGTTTGTTAACATCCTTAAAGAGTCAAACAGAGAGACTTAACTTTCCCAAAGAACCATGGAGGCATATCTCAAATAGCTTGGTTTGTAATATAGAGAAATGATATTAAACCTGGTCTACAAGCCACAAGAGGCCCTTTAGTTCTGATCCAACACGGCAAGTCTCGCGTGTCTCTTGTGGTTTGTGATGTTCCGTGGTGTATCTCCATTCTCTTTTATTTTCCATGTTACCATCTCTGTCTCCTTCTCCCCAGAGAGAAGCCTCTCTTCATAGCCAAGGGACTAAAGACATCTTTACACAGTCAGAGGTGACCCAAGAGAAGGGGAAAGAGATGGAAGAGCAGAACCCAGAAAGATCTGGAACGGGCAAGACAGCAAGGAAAGGCCCCCATCCCATCCAAGCTGGGAGTGGAGTTGAATTCTGGGGAAACCCGATACTAGGTATCTGTTATCTGATGACTGCTATCTCAGATGTATATTGCCGACGCTTCCGGCAGTTCCGCTACCATGAGGCCGATGGGCCCCGAGAGGTTTGCAGCCAGCTCCATGGACTTTGCAGCCACTGGCTGAAGCCTGAAAGGCACACCAAGAAGCAGATCCTGGACCAGGTGATCCTGGAGCAGTTCCTGACTATCCTGCCCCTGGAAATGCAGTGCTGGGTCAGAGGATGTGGGCCAGAGACCAGTTCCCAGGCGGTGGCCCTGGCCGAAGGTTTCCTCCTGAGTCAGGCAGAGGAGAAGAGGCAGGCAGAACAGGTGAGGGGATTCCCTCCAGATATGTCCAGTTCAAGCAATGATATCTGGCCTAATCCTAAGGTTCCCTGCTAGACATCTGTCCAAGTGTTAATCATCCAAATGGTAGATTTAACAGCCTTTTTACGCAGCCTCTTCTACTAGAGAATTTATTATCCCTCCAGATAGCTCACCAGGTCCGCTGATGGAAGGATGCAGTTTCTGGGAGCGGGGCAGGATCCATTCCGTGGTCTCTTTTCCATTCCATCTCTTACCCCTCTCCCTCGTTGCTTTTTCAGATGTGGGCACCATCCCTGAAGGAAGAAGCTACATTCCCTGAGGCAGAAGGAGCTTCCTTGGAGCAAGGGCAGAGTGCGCAGTCCCAGGAGCGTGCCCAAATTGCCCTCTCCTGTGGTAAGGGCTCTTTGTGCTTGGACGTGCTTTGGGCACCCCCATGAGTTTGATGGGTAGCGAGTTCAGGTCAGGAAAAGAATTAAATCCTTTTTCACACCACATAGAGTTAATTTGCAGCACTCAAAAGCTTAATAGGGCATCTGGTGGGCCGCTGTGAGAAATAGGATGCTGGAGTAGGGGTGGCAGGCTGTGGACTGGCACCCCCAGGAACATTGGGGAGGGCCTTGGGGTAGATGTGGTGTCTTGCTGATGTTGCGTCTGGCTGAAAACCTGGTTGTGAATTTATTTCTCTCTCCCAATTTATATCCCGCCCTCCTCGTGAGCAAACTCAGGGCAGGTTACAAAGTCACACAAGAGATATCGTGAGTAATAGTATATGAAATTCAAACAATTAGAACTTAGAGCCAGTTTGGTGTAGTGGTTAAGTGTGTGGACTCTAATTTGGGAGAACTGGGTTTGATTCCCCACTCCTCCACTTGCACCTGCTGATGTGACCTTGGGTCAGTCACAAGCTCTGGCACAGCTGTCCTTGAAAAAGAGCAGTTTGTGTCAGAGCTCTCTCAGCCCCACCCACCTCACAGGGTGTTTGTTGTGGGGAGGGGAAGGGAAAGGAGTTTGTAAGCCGCTCTGAGACTCCAAGTGAAGGGAGGAGTATAAATCCAATCTCTTCTCTTCTCTTCTTCTCTTCTAAATGAATACCAAATGAACAAGAGTGAAGATTGTCTTGACAGCGATGCTCGGATGGAACCTTCTGAGCGGCTATCAGCAGGGGAAGGCCAAGAATGGAATTTGGACATCTGCTGCATCAACTGAAAGCTCAGCGGAAGAGCTCCGTCTTACAGGCCCTGCGGAATTGTAACAGATCCTGCAGGGCCCTGATCTCAAATGGGAGCTCGTTCCACCAGGCTGGGCCCAGGGCCGAAAAGGCTCTGACCCTAGTTGAGGCTACAAAAGAAGAAGGGAAACCAGCATACGTGGAATAGTACAAAGCACCAAAAAACGCCGGCTGGAATCAAAAAGTATATAAACATAAAAGTTTTAATACCAAGTTCAATCTCGCAGCGACCATATAACTAGATAAAGCCAAGGTATTCTTTCAGGGAACAACAATTGTGCAAAGAAATCAAGTCCCAAAAGCCTCAACCAATGTTCCCTCTAAGGTAAGTGAGTGTGAGCTAGCTCACCTCTGGCTCACAGATTTTTGTCTTAGCTCAGGAAGGATGGCTCCAGAGCAAATTAATTTATGCGGTAGCCAAATCACTCACTCACAACTTTAATGCCAGTAGCTCACAAAGTAGAATTTTTGCTCACAAGACTCCACAACTTAGACGGAACATTGGCTCTCAACATGTCTCACTCCTGTTGTATTGTAATTCCATAGTCCAATTGGACGCACATTCGTCACGAAGTGGACTCATTGTGTTTCTTGGGAATCCATATAATCCATAGAGACGCATAGTCCGGATGCAAGCTGCCGTGTTTTGAATAATTCTTTTTCAAAACCAATAGGCTACAGTGGGACCCAATCTCAGTCGTAACACATGCATAAGCTAGTTTATTCAATCACAAGGGATCAAGGCTCTGCGGGGCACATATGGGGAGAGATGGTCCCTGAGATATACAGGTCCCTGGCCACATAGGTCTTTAAAAATCAACACTAGAACTTTGAACTGGATCTGGGACTCTATAGGCAGCCAGTGCAGTCGGTGGAGCACTTTCTGAATGCGTGCCCGCACGGGTCACTGTCAGCACGCATGCCACTGCATTCTGCACCAGCTGCAGTTTCTGGGTCAAGTTCAGGGGAAGCCCTGCTTAGATGGAGTTACGATAACTGAGCCTGGAACTAGTCATCACGTTGATCATTGTAGCTAGGTCCTAGGGAGTGAGACAGGGAACCAGTTGCTTGACCAGCCAAAGATGATAGAAGGCTGATCTAGCAACAGTGGCAACCTGGGCTTCCATAGAGAGAGAGGGATCCGAGATAAAATAGGGTTGCACTTACCTGCAACCAGGGGTCATTTCGTAGAAAAAGAGCGAGGGGAACTCATTAGCATAACTCATTAGCATATGCCACACCCCCTGACATCATCGGAAGTGTGTCATAAGGCCACACCCCCTGACATCACCAGAAATGTGTCATAAGGCCACACACCCCGCCCCCAATGGTCCCGGCCACCGGTGCTGGCCTTGCAGCTCCACTGCCGAGCCCCATGAGGGACCCGGCGGTGGACCTGCAAGGCTGGCGGGAGTGCAAGGAAGCCCCACGAAGGCCCTCCCTGGCCCCAGGCAGGCAGGGGTGGGGAGAGGCAGGGAGGAAGCAACTTACCCTCCCTCTTCTCCTGCCTCCTCCTGGCTGAATGAGGGCCGGAAGCGGGGCGGCCGGAAGCAGGGGGCGGGGCTTCGTCATGTGCCCCGCCCCCCGTACCTCACCCGGGGGGACTGCGTTCCCCCACGTTCCCCCCCGAAATGACCTCTGCCTGCAACTGTTGTTCATTGAGTGGTCTTCTTGTGCAGGTACGTGGGAGTGAACAGAAGCCATGACGATGAAACCCTAGACTCTTCACCCTCGGTGCCGGCACCAAAGGCTTCTCATCGAGAGTTGGGAGCCATGTTCCCAATCCCAGATCCCCCCGATCCAGGTTCAGGACCTCCATCTTCATTGGATTTAATTTCAGTCAGCTCTATTTAAGCCATCCTGCCACGGCCTGTAGTACCCCGGCTAACGCCTCTGGGGCGGGGTCCATCCATCCATCGACAGACAGAGCTGTTGATAAAGTTAGCATCCCAAGAGACACTCTAAAACAGGGGTGTCAGACTCATTTGTTACGAGGGCCGGATCTGGCACAAAATGTCACTTTGTCAGGCTGGGCCACATGTGCCATAAACTATGATGCCAGGTGCCGGAGATATAAACTGTATAAGCTGGTATATTAGCTGTTAAGCTCTGAGCTGGTGTATCCTCACCTGCAAGGCCTCATGGACTGGGCGCAGGGTGCGGAGGAAGACCCACATGGGTGTACGGGACAGCTAGCGGTGCAGCGCTGGGCAGATGCCCCCTCGCTCTTTGACTGCTGAAGACGAGGTTGTTCCGCTGTGCTGAAGCCCAGGGGTCATTTCGTAGAAAAAGAGGTGCAGGAGCTCATTAGCATAACTTATTAGCATGACTCATTTGCATATGCCACACCCCCTGACATCACCGGAAGTGTGTCAGAAGGCAACACCCACCGCTCAGGCTCCACTGGACTGTTTTGGATTGTTAGCTATTGGGGGGGTGGGGGGAACGTGCAGATTTGTCCTCGCAGAGGAGGGGGAGCTTGTACAGGAATAAAACTTGGTCTTAAAGGTGCCACTGGACCGTTTTGGACCGGGGGGCCGGGGGGAGCTCTGCAACTTACCTGGATGCTTCTTGCTCTGACTGAGGGCTGCTGGGAGCAGGGGGTGGGGCTTGTTGCCTGTGCCCGCCCTCTGGGCTCTTTACTGCTGGAGCTCCACTCCTGTGCGCTTCTGCAGGAAATGACCCCTGCTGAAGCCACTTTTGGAGTGACTCCGCTCACCCCCCCCCCAGCAGTCTCCTGTTCCCTCTCTTGCAGTAGCTGCTTGTGGGCCACCTAAGAGCCCTGGATGGGCCAGTTCCGGCCCCCGGGCCTTATGTTTGACACCCCTGCTCTAAAAACTCATTCATATTACCCTCGAATCTTCAGGTGCACTGAAGTCACATTTGGGTGAAAAGTGACGGTGACATGTCATGTGACGTCATTTCCACCCTCCTCCACCCCAGGCAAGACACAGGTCTCAGAGAAGTCTGAAATAGGTTGGCAGCAATGTTCCCTCTAAGCTGTGGAGTCCCGTGAGCAAAAATTCTACTTTGTGAGCTACAGGCATTAAAATTGTGAGTGAGAGATTTGGCTACTGCATACATTAGTTTGCTCTGGAGCCATCCTTCCTGAGCTGAGACAAAAACCTGTGAGCTGGAGGCTAAAAAACTGTGAGCTAGCTCACACTAACTCAGCTTAGAGGGAACACTGGTTGGCAGCATTTATAACCCCTGTGGCTCATTAGTAACCTGGTGCTTCTCTTCTGCCTCTCCCAGAATTTAGTAAAAAGTGTTCGAAAATTTGTTGGGTGTACACAGGGTGAGGTTTCGCAACCCTGGGAAGGGGGTGCGTGAAACAGGGAACAAGTAAGAGAACACCCTCCTTTCCTCCTTTGTCTCAGTCACAGGCAGTGAAGAGATGGTGTTGAGCCGTCATCGTTTCAGAAACGTGGAAATGGCTGCACCTCCAGTCCAGGTAGGAGAAATGAGCAGGGGACAGCCAGGGTCTCTCCTCCTTTCTCAGGGGGGCTTTTGCTCCTGCAGTTTCTACAAGGTGCCCAGGTGAGAGATCCTCTGAACGCCATTCCCTTTACCCATACCAAGCCTTACATGCTGTCCCTTCCCAGATGACTCCTTTCCAGTGTGCAATCGCTGCATGGCGTGACCTCTGACGAGGGAATCGGCTTTTTCTTTCAGTGTCCCTTTTCCTTTGAGGAGGTGTCCGTCTATTTCACTGAAGCAGAATGGGCCCTGCTGAATCCGGGACAAAGAGCTCTGTACAGGGATGTCATGCTGGAGAACTATGGGAATGTGGCCTTCCTGGGTAAGGATCTTCCATAGCTGCCAAAGGTGCAAATTGCTGCCATTTGTGATGAGGCATGAATCAAAACATTGAACGGCAATAAACGGCGTTGAGGCCTGTTCTGCTACTTGTGGAGGGGCTGTGGCTCACTGGCGGAGCATCTGCTTGGCATGCGGAAGGTCCCGGGTTCAGTCCCCAGCATCTCCAGTTAAAAGGATCAGGAAGGAAGTGACGTGAAAGACCTCTGCCTGAGACCCTGGAGAGCTGCTGCCAGACTGAGTAGACAATGTTGACTTAATGCACCCAGGGTCTGGATCGGGACAAGGCAGCTTCCTGTGTTTGTGTGTCCTTCCCGAGGGGCAACTGTGGCCAGTGTTGTGGCCATCAGCCCAAGCCAGAGAAGGTGCCCTAGCCTGAGGAAAAGGGCCTTCAGAAGGACCCCAGAAGGGGCCAGATCCTCATTTCTCTGTTGCCAGCCTCTACAACACACCCTTCCCCCTGGATGAGATTACAAATATCAGCTCTGCCTGTGACCTGGGAATTATTCTGTCAAGAACCCGAGCCTGGCCCCCCCCGGGTCACTACTTTTTGTACCTGAGTAGCACCTAGTTCAGTGGATTCACAAGGAGAGTGCCCCAAAGTAAGGCATACCCCTTTAAAGATCTATCTATCTATCTATCTATCATCTATCTATCATCTATCTATCATCTATCTATCTAATCTATCTATCTATCTATCTATCTAATCTATCTAATCTATCCATCCATCTCAAGGCTTATTAAGGATGTAAAAGTAAGACATCACTAAACAGTACAGCTTCTTCAGCTCAGCAACAGAAAAACAGGAAAAGCTAATTGTTCTATATAATACACGAAATACTTGATCCTAGATGGCACCTCTTGTTGCGGCATGAGTATTCCAACTGCAGCCTAAATTACACTACGTAAAACTTTTCATCGTGATAAAGCAAGAAAATATCAAGGCGTACTAGCATGGCATCAGCATAAAGTTAGCATGGCTTCCCTCTAGTCCATAAAATAAATATACTTTCTACCTCTCTAGGGTCAGGTGGTCCTAATGACCCAATCAAGGGTCCTCCTTGATGGAATTTTCCAGAGGCTGTCAGCACCCTCTTATTCCCCCCCACACACTCTTGGTTACACAACTGGATACAGGTTCTCATGATTAACAAATTATCACATTCTGGAGTCTGGTCTTGGAAAAGATAAGGATGTTAGCTCAAATCCCAAACACTGAGTCAGACCAGGCCACTTAATAATCACGTTAACCCTTGGGGGAACTAAGGTGCTTTGCCTCACAGATCCATTCCCCTTATTCTGGTTCAGATTGACCATGGTTCTGTCCTTCCAGAAGAATGTTTACTCTTGAATTTCTTCCCTTCCCCATATAAGACTGATCTCTCTCTCTCTCTCTCGCTCTCTTTCTCTTTCTCTGTCTGCAAAACAAGCCAGAAGTATAAGAGAGACTTTAGTGAAGACAGACAACAGCCTCACATCCAAAGAAAGGCTGGAGAGTTTCTCAAGAGGATCCCAAATTTCCTTCCCAAATGATCTGGCTGAGAGTGAGTATCCTTTACGGTTACATCAAGGGATAAAGGAAAGAATAACACTGGTGGATTTCGGATTCACAGTGTTTGGTTTGGTACAAGGATACAGCCTGCTGGGTAAAGAGGGAGGGAGGCCTTCTGAGGGCCTGAAATCTGGAGGCTCAGAAACTCCTCCTGAGCCTCAGCTGTGACTTTTGATGGGGTGAGGTATATCACGGCTCTTTTTGTAGCAGGAACTCCTTTGCATATTAGGCAACACACCCCTGATGTAGCCAGTACTGCAAAAGCTTACAGTACCCCTGTAAGAAGAGCTCTGTAAGCTCTTGGAGGATTGGCTACATTTGGGGTGTGTCGCCTAATATGCAAAGGAGTTCCTGCTACAAAAAGAGCCCTCGGTATCCTTAAATACTAGATATTTACTGGGGCAAGGTGGAGGGGTGGTTAGGATCAGCCAAGCTGGACGAGGCCAAAGGGCCATCAATCCTTTCCTACTGCAGTCACTTCAGTGACTTTGGACCAGCGACCAGCCCTCCCAGGTGCTAACAGGATCTTTGTATTTATTCCAACAGAGGATGATCAGAGGAATGCGGAGGGTGAGGAACTTCTTCAGCAAATGCCAGAAAGAGTTAAAAATGAATACTTGAAAGAAAACATCAGGAATCGAGGCAGACCTAAGGGAATGAAAGGCAGCTGTATGGTTGAGAAGCAAGATGAAAGAAAGTGTAATGTACATTCTCCAAAGCACAGGATAATGAAGGCGAGTAAATCCATTCAGTTTGGAATGTACTTCAGAAATAGATCACAGCTCCTGCTGCATCGAAGAATACACAGAAGAGAGAAATGTTTTGAATGCTCAGTGTGTGGAAAGAGATTCAGTCAGAGTTGCAGTCTTCAACTGCATCAAAGAACTCACACAGGGGAGAAACCTTTTGAATGCTCAGACTGCGGAAAGAGATTTAGTTGGAGGAGTACTCTTCAACTGCACCAAAAATTCAGTCATAGTGGCACATTTGAACACCATCAGAGAACCCACACAGCAGAGAAATCTTTTGAGTGTTTAGAGTATGGAAAGAGATTCAGTGAGAGTAGAATTCTTCAACAGCATCAAGGAAGTCACACAGGGGAGAAACCTTTTGAATGCTCAGTGTGCGGAAAGAGATTCAGTTGGAGTAGCCAGCTGATACGGCATCTGAGGACTCACACAGGGGAGAAACCTTTTGAATGCTCAGAGTGTGGAAAGAGATTCAGTGAGAGTGGTGCTCTTTATCGGCATGAAAGAACCCACACGGGGAAGAAACCATTTGAATGCTCAGAGTGTGGAAAGAAATTCAGTCAGAGTGGCACTCTTCAGCACCATCTGAGAACCCACTCAGGGGAGAAACCTTTTGAATGCTTAGAGTGTGGAAAGAGATTCAGTGAGAGGAGAATTCTTCAACAGCATAAAAGAAGCCACACAGGGGAGAAACCTTTTGAATGCTCAGAGTGTGGAAAGAGATTCACTTGGAGTGGCCAGCTGAAACGGCATCTGAGAACCCACACAGGGGAGAAACCTTTTGAATGTTCAGTTTGTGGAAACAGATTCAGTGAGAGTAGTGCTCTTCAGCGGCATGAAAGAACCCACACGAGGAAGAAACCATTTGAATGCTCAGAGTGTGGAAAGAGATTCAGTCGGAGTAGCCATCTGCAACGGCATCAAAGAACCCACACAGGGGAGAAACCTTTTGAATGCTTAGAGTGTGGAAAGAGATTCAGTCGGAGTAGCCATCTGCAACGGCATCAAAGAACCCACACAGGGGAGAAACCTTTTGAATGCTTAGAGTGTGGAAAGAGATTCAGTCGGAGTAGCCATCTGCAACGGCATCAAAGAACCCACACAGGGGAGAAACCTTTTGAATGCTTAGAGTGTGGAAAGAGATTCAGTCGGAGTAGCCATCTGCAACGGCATCAAAGAACCCACACAGGGGAGAAACCTTTTGAATGCTTAGAGTGTGGAAAGAGATTCAGTCGGAGTAGCCATCTGCAACGGCATCAAAGAACCCACACAGGGGAGAAACCTTTTGAATGCTCAGAGTGTGGAAAGAAATTCCGTGGGAGTGGCAGTCTTCAAAACCATCAGAGAATCCACACTGCAGAGAAACCATTTGTATGCTCCGTGTGTGGTAAGAGATTCAATTGGAGCAGCACTCTTCAGCGGCACAAAAGAACTCACACAGAGGAGAAACGTTTTGTATGCTCAGAGTGCGGAAAGAGATTTGGTGAGAGGATCCGTCTAGAATACCACCAAAGAACCCACACAGGGGAGAAACCTTTTGAATGCTCAGAGTGTGGAAAGAGATTCAGTTGGAGTAGGAATCTGCAACAGCATCAGAGAACACACACAGCACAGAAACCCTTTGTATGCTCTCTGTGTGGGAAGAGATTCAGGTTGAGTCACACTCTTCAAAAGCATCTGAGAACTCACACAGGAGAGAAACCTTTTGAATGCTCAGAGTGTGGAAAGAGATTCAGTCAGAGCGGCACTCTTCAGTGGCACAGAAGAACCCACACGGGGGAGAAACCTTTTGAATGCTTAGAGTGTGGAAAGAGATTCAGTCAGAGAGGCACTCTTCAGCGGCATCTAAGAACCCACACAGGGGAGAAGCCTTTTTAATGCTCAGTGTGTGCATAAATAACATCCCATAATGCCTCTGTTAAAGGGAGAGAACACTTTTTTCCCCCTCCAGGCAGTTGGCAACCCTAGATTAAGTATTTCTTTATGAATTAGAGAAAATGAAACTCAGCTAAGGAAAGGTCATAGCTCATTAAAGAGATTAGCATTGGTATCAGGGAAATCAAACTGCGTTATCTTTCATTGCATGTGTCAAAGGTTAGTGTGGCACATCTTTTCTTTATTTATTTATTTATTGATTTGATTTATACCCCACCCTCCCCGCTGGAGCAGGCTTAGGGCAGCTTACATAAAAGTTAAAAGACATAAAACAAAGCAATTATAAAAACAATCACAGACAATCATAAAGTGCTAGTGACAGTAATAATATTGCGTAGCGACGGCAGAAACAGAACAACAGATCATGATGGAATAGTCATAGTGGAATGAAGTCAGTGCTGATGTTCAGCAATTATCTGAATCCTTTTATGCCGGCACGCACAGGCTCCCAATGGTGATTCCTGGGGAACAGGGGCTTACCGTTGTTCCGTTATCAGATGTGGCTCCTTGATTGAAGGCCTGGTGGAAGTGCTCCATCTTGCAGGCCCTGCCAAACTGTAGAAGATCCTGCCAGGCCCTGATGTCTTCTGGGAGCTCATTCCACCAGTGCGGAGCCGCCACTGAGAAGGCCCTGGCCCTGCTTGTGGCCAGCCTGGCATCTTTGGGACCAGGGAGGGCCAGACAATTTTGAAACCCTGAATGCAGTGCTCTCTGGAGAACATGTGGGGAAAGGCAGTCCCTCAGGTATGTCGGCTCCGACCATAAAGGGCTTTATGGGTGAAAACCAGCACCTTGAAATAAATTCAGTATGCTATCGACAGCCAGTGCAGTGCTTTCAGCACAGGCTGGATGTCCTCCCGCATGGCGAGACACATCAGAAGCCTGGCTGCAGCGTTTGCACCAGCTGTAGTTTCTGGATTTGGGACAAGGGCAACCCCATGTAGAGAGCATTACAGTAGTCTAATCTCGAGGTGACCATCGCATGAATTACTGTTGCCAAGTTGCTGTGTTCAAGAAAGGGAATCAACTGCCTAATCAGCCGAAGGTGGTAGAAGGCTGACTTGGCAATGGCTGCTACCTGGGCCTGCATTGTTAAGGAGGCATCCAAGAGCACTGGTGACATCGCAGCCCGTGCCTCTGGGCAAGGGGGCACATGTAGATGTTGAATAACATTGGGGACAGCACCGCCCCTTGGGGCCCTCCGCAAATTAGTGGGTGCCTTCAGGATAGCTGCCACCCTTTGTCCCCGACCCTGAAGGAAGGAGGCAAGCCATTGCAAGACCTGATCCCCAGTGTCGGTGGGGCGGTAGATCAATAGCTGATGGTCGACTGTGTCGAATGCTGCCGACAGGTCTAATAACACCAGTCCGTCCTAATCCAGATGTCTCTGGAGGTCATCCGTGAGGGTGAGCAGTGCCATCTCCGTCCCATAGCCTGGAAGGAATCTAATATGGAAGTATCATCCACAAAATTCTGCAACTGAATTGCCACCACCCTCTCAGTTATTTTGCCCAAATAGGGCAGATTGGAAACCGGACGATAATTTGCCAATTCATCTGGATCCAGAGATTTTTTTTTTAGGAGAGGGTGAATGCTCTGGGGAACAGTCCCTCAGAGAGGGACTTATTAATGATCTCCTTTAGGGCACCACAAAACTCATTGCGAGCAGCTTTAATTAGTTAACGATGTGCGCAGGTCAAGGCTGCACATGGTAGGACGTACAGTTGAGAGCAATTTGTTGACTCCCTCTAGCCTAAGTGGACTGAAATAATCCATAACCTGACTAGAAGACGTGCATGGAGCCTCGAATTCACTCACTGCCTCAGCTGTGGTGGGGAGATCACGGTGGAGCGACAACACTTTATCTGCGAAATAGCTCGCAAAGGCCTCACAGCCGATGTCCAATTCCCTAACATTTGGTCTGCCTTGTGGCAGAACAGTCATAGACTGAATTGTTCTAAATAATTGGGCTGGGCGTGAGTTCACAGATGCAATCATAGTCTCATAAGCAGAGGTCATTTCGGGGGGGGATCGCGGAGGATCGCAGTTCCCCTGGGTGAGGTACGGGGGGCGGGGCACATGACGAAGCCCTGCCCCCTGCTTCCGGCCGCCCCGCTTCCGGCCCTCATTCAGCCAGGAGGAGGCAGGAGAAGAGGTAGGGTAGGTTGCTTCCTCCCTGCCTCTCCCCACCCCTGCCTGCCTGGGGCCAGGGAGGGCCTTCGTGGGGCTTCCTTGCACTCCCGCCGGCTTTGCAGGTCCACCGCCGGGCCCCTCATGGGGCTCGGCAGTGGAGCTGCAAGGCCGGCGTTGGTGGCCGGGACCGTTGGGGGCGGGGTGTGTGGCCTTATGACACACTTCCGGTGATGTAAGGGGGTGTGGCCTTATGACACACTTCTGGTGATGTCAGGGGGTGTGGCATATGCTAATGAGTTATGCTAATGAGTCCCCCTAGCTCTTTTTCTATGAAACGACCCCTGCTCATAAGTACTCTCTCTTAGTGGCTTTGACCGCCATCTCATAGGATCTCATGAACATCCTATGGGATGTTCTTGTAGCATCATCATGGGCATGCCGCCACTGTATCTCTAGCCATCTTAGCCTTCGCTTCATCAGCCACAACCCCTGGGTAAACCAAGGTGCCAGCCTAGGGTGAGGACGCAGAGGGCGTTGGGGAGTGATCTCGTCAATGGCCACTGAGAGTCGGCTGTGCCAATCCTCTACAAGCTCATCTAACAAGCCACCAGGGGGCATCAGATCCTGCAGGGCCATCTGAAGCCACATAGGGTCCATTTGGCTTCGTGGGCGAGCTAAAATAGGCTCGCCACCCAAACAGGGTCAGGGTGAAAGATTCAGATTCAAACGGGCCTTCAGGGCATGGCGGTCCGATCATGGCAGTGATCCTGTTCACTGTAACCCGTGCTGTGAAGATCAGATCAAGCGTGTGCCCAGCCTGATGAGTGGGGGCCATTACATATTGGGAAAGTCCCAGCGCCACCATGGACGACACTAGGTCCGTAGCCTGTGTGGAGGCTGCATAGAGCATTGTTTAATTGTAATTCCAAATAAGTCATCTATGCGATAAAATGTCCCTGTGATCTCCTATACGTTGGTTGTATGACCAGACCTGTAAAGAACGGATCCTTCCCTACCACAAAGCCTGCCCTCCTCAGGCTCTACCCCTCACATCTACAGGTATTTCCCAACCCATAGTTGGCAACCCTGTAACTGTCTATGGAACCGCTTTCCAAAGCCTTGGAACCCAGAAAACATGGCCTAGGAGGAGGTGCTTTTCTACCTTCGCTGCCACTGCATAGCCCCAAATCAACCTAAGTCAGGGGTGGAGGGAACCGTGCCCCCTTACCATGCGGCTCCCCTCCCATACTACCCACTTGGGGCAGCAAAATGAAACCGGACTCCTATGCACTGTAACCCTCCAAATGCCTCCACATTCTGATTTCTTCTTTTCCTTAATAGTTTCTTAAAAAAAAAAATTATCAAATGTCTTCTCAAAACACAGTACCACCGATATCAAAAAAAGGGTTCATAAAATGACATAGATTGTTGTCAGCATGTCAAAAAACATTTTTAAAAGCACATTAGACACATCAACAAATGCTCTGGCAGCTCAGTAGGCAGCTGAACGTCTTCAAGGAGCAGATGACGGTGGTGACACAGGGAATAACAACACAACAAACACAGATAAATGAGCTGATACAAATGAAGCAAGACAGTGAAAAAGTTAAGGAAGTGGCTGAAGATGCACAGAAAGTGAAGAAAAAAGTCAAGAAGCTGGAAACAGAACAAGCCTCTATGAAACAGCAATTATTACAAGCCCAAATGGATAAGGTTAATATGGTCCTACGCTTCCAGGGTGTGCCAGAAAAACCGGGTGAGAATCTTAAAGAACTGATGTGTGAATTACTGGCCCCAGTGGCAGATATGAAGGCAGAACCTTTAAAAAATGAGATGGATGTGGTCTTTAGATCATATTAAGGTTATATAAAGAAAAAATAATCTGCCTGGGGAAATTGTGGTAAGATTCTCCAAGAGGCACATAAGGGATGCAGTCCGAAAAGCAGTTTCTGGAAAACCCCTGAAAGTGGGGCATAATGCAGTCAGAACGCTAAAGGACATTCCATTTGAGGTGAGACAGCGGAGGAAGAAATATAAAGAATTAGTGACTTTTCTTCAGACTAATTTAATTGGATACAAATGGCTATTTCCTGAAGGAGTAACTTTTAAGATAAAGGATAAAAAAGAGAAGATTGACTCTGTGTTTAAAGCTAAAGAGTTCCTGAGGGTTCAGCTGGGAAAAGCAGAGGAAGACGACGGAAAATCGAATGGAGAAGAAGATTCAGAATCTTCCGGAGAGGACTCTTTGACTGAACAGGGAGCAGCAGCTCCAAGAAGTCCTTATAAGCTGAGAAAGGAAAAAAAGAAGTAAAGGCTGAAGGACTCCGAATTGTGCCTTGAATTCAACAATATGTTAGAGATGAATGGGGAGTGGTTTACAGGCACTTAAACATTTAAATGTAAAATTAGCAGAGAGAAAAAAGAGTATGTTTGACTCAGTTTATAGAAATGAAACTGAAGTAATGACTTATTGTAACTAACCTTGTTGGAGATCTCCTCTCTTGGGTTTTTAGATAGTAGTGGGTTTCTTTACTTTGTCCCTGTATGTGTAGTTCCCTATATCCTTTTTTCTTTGTAGTATTTGTAGAGATATAAAAATAATTTAAAAATCCCCTCTGGGGGAATCAAAATCAAAGGCTCTGGCAGCTCAGTCATCATAAACTATTTAAAATTACAGTATCCTGGCTAATGAAACAAGGAGGCAGCTGGATAAAGAGACTTAAACTTTGCAAACACAATGGCAACCAAACACGATGCTGCAAGAAGTCCAAGATGTGGTAAACCATCTTTGTCTTTTAAAATGTGGTTTC